CAAATGTTTGCTGCCTTTTCCTTCACTACAGTGTTCCTTGACAACTGAGAAAGTATGACATCTCACTTTTATGACATCATCCATATTGTGACGTTTTTGTTCTTTGAGATCATAATTTCCCATGGAACCTTGAAATGACTGCAGATACCGTGCGATATGTCCTCCAATGTTTGCATGAATATGCTACCGTATGTACACTGCAATACCGCTAACTTACCTATATCTATAGCATAATAGGAACTTGGTCCCTTTGAAACATATACTATAGCAAAGTAATTTCCATATCTATAAGGCAGATCTGAACCCGCCCCCGCTCCCCTTTTCTTTGAACTTCCTTCCAGATATACCACTTATGATCCACTCCTGGCTTTGCAATGTGCCAAAGAAGCTCGCTCTACATTTTATGTATGTTCTAATCGCAATCAATATATTTATTTTATTTATTTCAACTCATTCAAAGTGTTCAACGCCTCAACCAAGCGGTTATCAAAATATCAACATATTTATTATACACCAATCCCGTCTTCTTAAACTATTTTCCTCTCTATACAACTTTGTGTCACAAACAATGTCTCCTTTAAAGCCTGCTTTGCTTTCTTGCAGCAAGAAAAAAAAGTAGGAAAAAAAAAAAAAAGGGGGGGTCGCGACTTGCAGTTCGATCATTTTGAAAGCTATATTCGTTTTATTTCATAGTTTGTTTTTTTTTTTTTTTTTACAGCTATTATACTAGATATCGAAGGAAAATCGATGATTTTTTCATGATAAACTATTTGAAATAAAATTAAAATCAATTCCACATACATTATGAGAAATGAATACATGACAATAAAATATCAAATAATATCGGGGGAATCAAATGCCATCATTAAATGTGAAGAAAATCCAATAAAAAAGTTTATTTTGTTTTCTCTTTTTCATGGAGAAATTTTACCCTTGACAATTTGAAATTCTTGCCATAAAATTATAATTTCCCAGGTACATGGACCAATCACAATCAAACTTTTTAGAAAGTTTCCTTAGCATTTTGACTACAATATCCAAAAAATTGTTTTATTGAGATGCGGTTTGTCATGTACAAAAATATTCTACGTACGTACAGCGTTAGGAGAAAAGGGTAATATTGATATTCTGAGAATTATTCGATTAATTCATTGACTGGTGTATGGAAAATGACAAAATAAAAAAAATAAAATAATGACAATATATTGGTCTTTGTATACGTCAACAAAAACTAAAAAGTAGGACTGACATTATTTATGTTGAGACCCAGTTACTGTACAACTTTTGCGATAACTATCAAAGTCGGTGTTCCACCTGTTACCTACGAATTACAAAACGCTAATGCAATTTTAAAATCTTCGATTGCTTAAATATTTCACTCTATATTATTATTTAAATATTTTTAGGTGCATTTTAGAGTGTCCAATCTTTTAACAATATTAGAAAATTGTGCACACCCACAAAAACATTCTGGTGATGACATCATTCACAGTTTATATATGTATTATTTTTGCTCGTCCTATTCACTCTGCCGGCGCTCTAAATACCAGATTTTGCAGAAAAAAAGATTCTTCATGGATAACCGCTTATATGGCACAATATCCACTGGGAAAAGAAATTTTCAGACTGTTAAAAAAATAACACAACACTGAATACTTGGTTTGTAGGTAATGTGTATATTTAGGGACAATGTCAAATGCTTAAAAAATTACAAAACGTTCAAATTCGAAAGACAGGAACAGATATTTAACAAGTATCACAGTCTTCTCCTTTTGCTTCATACAACAACTGAAGAACATCTTGCGGAGCCTTTTCTTCATGTTCTGGAAAAATGTTCTACGAGTGACCTGCAAGTAAATAGGGAAAAAAAGTTAGAAAATAAAACAAAGAAATAAATAAAATCAATTAGTCAGATTAATTCGAATGTTATAGTTTAAGAAATAAAATCTCTAAATATTTGCTTTACATTATTGGCGGGGGGGGGGGGGTAAAATTGTGAGAGACTTACGACACTAGAAGTATTATCTGTCTTCTTTATATCAGCGTTTGTGTCTTTCATTGAAGCATCTTTCTTTAACGAGGTCGTCTCTTGTTCTTGAAGAACGGGTATTTTCGACTAAAAAGAAGGAATTAATTTTTTGAGGAAAAAAGATAACTTATTTAAAATGAAATCTTTGCATTTCGTTGCCTTCGTGTCACTTAATTGAACACAAACTACATTATTCTCAGTTCTGCAGATTTTTGTAGCTTCCATTAAAAAAAGATAATGTTTTTAAAGCAAATTTTCAGATGACAACCTACCTTTAACTCATCAAGAACGGTAGCCATCACGTGTTTAAAATGTCGTGTGTCATCCTCTGTCTCCACTCCCGTGGTCAAGTCATCGAGTATATCCTAGAATAAAGTCAAGTAAATTGATTGTTGTCCGACACTGATGTACTTATTGGATACATTTATTTCGATTTAAAAGTGTTTGACATTCTATATAAGGGGTGTATTTATACAAATGAGCGCATGCTTAAAGATTTCTGGTAGAGCATTAAAACTTAAAAAATGCACATTGATGAAAACGTTCATTTTCCGTGCTTACCTCGCATATTTCTGGTTCCTCCACCATTTCGCACCACGGTCTATCAAACTTGAGAATTTCATACCTCCTTTGCCTTTCCTAAAATTAATGTAAGTATTTTTTTAAAACACATAAATTTTTTTTAAGTTCAGAATCGAAAAGTCAAAATTGCCAAATCGACATATTTCCAATCAAAATGCAATTTATAAATATACAAAGGCATGTAACATATGAATACCTGCGCTCTTGCCATTAGAGCGTCCAGTTTGTTTTTGATAGCAATCTCCATAGGCGGATCCAGGAATTTGTAAAAGGGGGGGTCCAACATTTTGACCTATTAGGTACTGTTTGCAATATCTACCGCTCCCAATTTTCACCCCACTTTGTTTGTGTACATGTAAATGATCTAAAGAAAATGTCTACTTGGTGTTTTTTTAACATTTAATTTCTATTAATTTTCAAATATATAAGTATACAGAGGGCCAATAGGGCATGTTTCGTGTAACTGTCATAATGACAATACTGATGATAACACATGATTTTTGTAGATATGATCTCCATCAATACTGCCTAGATCCATCCTGCGAACAAAATTTTTAAACTTGATATATTCAGCGGTAAACGGAGATATACTACATTTACATTTTCAAATATCATCAAATAAATTGTAGACGGGAAAGTAGAATAGGCAATCATGGTAAGTAAGAGTCTATATGATAAAATTAATAACTTTTTTCCCCCCCCCCCCGAAAACTAGCAAAATAAAGTCCCCTAACGGTAATATAATTCAGTCAAAAGTATGTCAAACGTAATGAATATACTTGTTCTGTGAGTATTCAAGGCACAGTGCAAAGAAAAATCCGGAAAATCGCAATCGGAAGGACAGACAGGTGGATAGATGGACCGAGAGTAAACTAGCACCCTTCCTCTTCTCAGCAAAGCGAGAAAGGGAGACTAACCCAATATCACACTGTTCTCATCAGACCTAGAGTCCCAAATATCTATAGCGAATTGCTCTATCAACTTAAGACATTTACTATACTGGAGTGACAGATCTAACAGAAATATCGTAAAACTCTATATTTATCATAAGAAATGAACGGTATGAACTTTGATGCACCAGATGCGCATTTCGACAAATAATGTCTCTTCAGTGATGCTCAGACCAAAACTATTGGAAATCTTAAAAAAAGATAAAAAAGCTACGAGCATGGATCGAAAGTGCCGAACATGAGCCAAAATCCGAACAAGGACCAGAGCTATGCCTGACGGAGATACGTCCTTTATTTCTAAAATTTATCACATTAAAATTTATATATCCGTTTCATGCTAGCACTGGAGTACTAGACGAAACTGGGCTTATGAATACCCTCGGGGACTAAAAGTCCACCAGCAGAGGCATATTACTGACATTAATTTTCAGTTATAATTCTCTCTTTGCTACAAGGATATACAATTTTGATAATACACTTTTTTATTTCGTAGGCACACATAACCAAAAAAATGGGGGAAGAGGTATCCGCACATGAAGGCCTATCTAGAATTTATTTTACTTTAAAAATATACATGTACATTACATGGGGGAGGGTAGGGAACCACCCCAACCTGTTTTTTTTTCCTACAAATTGTAAAAAAAAAAGAAAGAAAAAAAAGTAAAATTGGACTCCCCCTTTTAAAAGGAATATTAATAGCTCACTCTCTCTGAAGATAAAACTCAATGGTAGACCCCTCCCCTACACCGTGCAGTTCACAAACTTGAGAGTTTAAGCATAGTTTGGGGTATTTGTATCAAAATTAATGAAATTGATAATCACGTACATAACCACCCCACGTGTAGTTTTGAAACGTGACGTTTATGTTATAAATATAGTATAACAGGCCCCTATGTGTTTTGTAAAAAATATGCAAAAAACTGAAATAGCTGCAGTGCTTGTTCTACTGCCTAACCCTTTCATGAACTGAATATTTGATAAACAAAGTTTGTTCAGATCACAGGGCTTCTTATAAATTTTGTACTCAATCTGTATGTTATATATCTATTCATGGCTTGAGAATTAAAAAGAAAAGCCCCCCCCCCCCCCCGTTTTGTGTTTGAACTCAGAGCATAAAGTTTGTACTATATAGCTGTGCTCGCTACAACGGTCACACCGTCAATATATTACTGTATATGTTAGCCAAATGGCAATGTTCATGATACATTGAACAACCAGCTTTCCACATGTATTTGTGTTACACGTGAAACGACCTTTTTCAAAATCGTCCGTCGTGTATGACTCAGCCTAAGAATCAAACATTTGGCTAGTAGCCTAGTTCAATATAAACAACTCTTAATAAAAAAAGTAAAAGCTTACCATAATATTTATGAATTATGGACAGTTTAATCTTCATGCCTTACTGGAAGCAGCTTCAGAGTTATTCTAAACAAAACTGTATACGTACAGCGATGATGTTTCTGGTAAAATCTCGTCAACTTTCTATTTCTTTTCTTTTTTTTTCTTTCTTTCCTTTTTTTCTTGATTCATATTTCTAATTTTTTTTTTGGGGGGGGGGGGTGTATACATTTTTTTGGTCCGCGAAAAAGGGGGGGTCCGGACCCCCTGGACCCCCCCACTGGATCCGCCCTTGATCTCTCTATCCACTTTTTCAAGAAGATCGTCAAAAATGCTCTAGAATGAAGAAAATGCGACAATTGATGTTAATCAATTGATTGAATTTACAATTCTAAACTGGTACTCTGTAGAACCTATCTGCTTCACAAAAAAGCTTTGTTCTTAAACACACAGCTGTAAACATACAGTGAAAACTGTCAATTTATTTCGGACATGCAGCATCGCGTCAAACAGTTAGGTGATGGTCAAAAGACCACTCTATACTTTTCGAATATTCTGCACGATACTTGTGAAAACTTAGGACAGCTTAATATTAACTACAACCCATCAAGTGAAAATTAATAAGGTCTACTAAGTTATTCGAGCGCTTATATTTGATTTAATCTAATATAACTGACCGTTGAATTGGGCATTTGTGATCTATTTCACTCACTCGTCATTAAACGACAAAAAAGTCTCCAAGTTTGTAAACACTGTTCTTGTGTTAGAATGCA